CCAAGACTGCAGATTTGATTTGCCACTGAATTTGTTTGTTCGTCGACTCCGTGAGACATGCGTGGAAAGTTCTCGTAGATCCACGAGCACTGTGCGCATCCTCCGAGTCTCTTGATCAGCGTTATTGGGGGGGGGGGGTCACCCCCGCCGACAGCCCCACATCGACCCCCGTCGCGGGCAGCCACCGCGCGCCGAAGGCGCTCCGACCCCCGTCGCGGCGCGACGACGAGGCGAGGCTGACCCCCGTCGGGGGCGGTACACCCCCACGCTGATTAAGAAACCCAGAGCATTGGTTGGTACATCTGGCCAGCAGAAGTCCATTTTGGGGCAGAGCCTTCTCCCGCCGCTGCGGCTGCTGCCCTCGGAAAGAGGGCCCGTCGAGACCCCCGCGTGCCGTGCTTCTTTCGTCGCTGGGCGGATCTCCTTGAGAGGCTCCTCGTGGCCTCGGCCAGCTCCGCTCCGAGCAGAAGCGCCAGCGTGCACCTCTGGAGGGGGGGTCCTCGAGCAGAGGCGCCCTCGAGGGCGGAAAGTTCTTCGCGCTTCGCGCTTCGCGCTTCGCGGCTCGGCTCCGTTGCCTCCTCGTCCTCCTCTTCTCCCCCGGGAGGGCGGCGCGAGCGCGCGCAGGAATTTTGCGCTTCGCGCAGCGCGAAGCGCGAAGTGTAGGCGCCCTTGCAGAGGCTGGGGGATCAGTCTTGAGCGGACTCGGGCCAGGCGGGGATGCCGCCGTCGTCTCGCCTCTTGCCCTGCCGCTTCGCTCTTGCACGCCTCTCGATGCGCGTGTGCGCGCCCTTCGTCCGCTGCACCTGCTCGAGCCGCGTCCGCGCCCACCGACGGAGCAGCATGAGGACTGCGTGGGGAGGTGGGGGGACAGCGTCGGCGGGGCCTCGTCCCTCGGGTTGCCTCGGTGCGCGACAGCCGCACCGACGGGGCTGCAGACCAATCCCAGGCTCGGCTGGCTCGGGCCATGCCACAGGCGGCTGGGGTCGCTTGCTTTGGTCGTTCGCGACAGTGGAGCCCAGGGAATCCTTGGGCTCGGGGTTGAGTTGCGCACGCAAGCAGCTAGCACGAGGGCCCAGAGCGACTCTGGGCATTAGCGTCGGAGGGGTACCCGTCTGCTCTCCCTGTCTTGGCTTTCCACCTTGGAGCGTTGTTCGTTGCATCTCCACGAAGCATTGGGCCTTCGTCGAAGGGGTTCATGCTCTTGACCCGCATTGCCTTGCTTCGATTGTGCACCACGTCGGTTGGTCGGCTAATGGACTCCGTATATGGGCCCTCCGGAGCTCCCCGCATCGTTGGAAGCAGGAGCCTCTGTGCACCGAACTCCGTGGCCGACCCGCTAGCGCGGCGCCTGCATCGAGCCCCCTCGGCAGATTTCGCCGGAAAGCCCACGCGAATGGAACGAGGATCAATGTGATATGTTCTGGGGATGTTTTTTTTTGGGGGGGGGGGGGGCATTCGGACAGGCCGCAGGAGGCGCTTTTTGCGCTCGGCGCGCGCGCGCGTGCACGGCGCTGCGCTTCCCGCGCAGCGCTCCCGCGCGCGGGCCAGGCGTGCGGCAAAGTGCGCGCGCGTGCACACTTTTTATTCCTTGCGGGCGCGTGCGCCAAGTGTTTGAAACAAGATGTTCCATGAGAGTGCTGCTGTCGCGCGCCGCGGGGAAACAATATGTTGTTTCCCTCTATTGGTGGGACACCAGTCCGTCCATAAGGCCGCCGAAACATGACTGATTTCACTTGTTGGGGGTGGGGGGGTTCTGAAGACCTCTGCGTGTTACGGAAAGGATGGGCACACAGACCGGCAGCAGCTCCTCTCAATTTTGAACAGGGCTCGCGGACGGTGTCGCCGCGGACGTCTTGTCCGTTTGTAACAGGATGCCGCCTGCTCAACAGCGGCCGCTGCTGGCTTCTGCGCAGCATCTGTTGTTGGGCACTGTGCCCATTTGTTCCATGTCGGTTTCGGGCGTCCAAATTGAAGTCGGGCCTTTCTCTCTACAGGCGGAATAGTAAAACATAGTAAAATTGTTCCGACGGAAGAACCCCACATGATAATCCTCTCGGTTAATCAAGAACAAAAACCCTCATTGCTGTCTCTTCTGCGTATATTTCTTCTCGCCCTGGCGCAGGCACTCCTCCCGCTCCCTACGTTTCCTCCTTCCTCGCTCTCCTGTTTATTCGCGCCCCGCCATCTCCCCTCCTTTCTATTGCATGAGCGCGCATGTCGATTGTCCTCGGCGCCGTCGCCGCCTCGGCCAACACGGGCGCGTTCCCTAATTGCCACGTCGCGCAGCCGTTAGGACAACCCCGCGGGCCAGGACGTCGGGGCAACCGCGCGAGCCGCTGGCGCGCAAAACCAAACCGTTGGGACAACCCCGCGGGCTTCGAGCGGGGCGCAGCCGCGCTCAGGCGGGAGCGCGGCCGCAAACTATTGGTGGACATACACTTGCCTATACCAGTAACCAACCTTCATCCACGCGCAAATGAGACCCGTGACCAGGAACAGCGACGCAGCCAATCCTGCGCCGACAATGCAAATGCTTCACCCACGCTGTATTAGCTTCGCATTCAGGCCACCAGAACTCATGCGCGCGACGACGCGCAGGATACCGCCCGACACCGGCGCCGACAGCCCGCGCCGCGAATGGATCCAGGGGTGGCTCGACCACCGATTGCAAGCGGAGAAAGTAGAATGCGGCTGCGTGGACAGGCTCTGCATGCATTCTCTGGCCACATGCTACCCGCTCCGCCGCGTCAGTATTCGCCGCATCTCGACTTCAGACCCAAGCGAGACCACCGGCAAGCAATGCCACCATCACCACCACCGACCCATGCGCCCACGCCACTGCCCAAGGCCAAGATGCCAACGCCGTTCGCGCCCCCAGCGCAAACGCGTCAGCAGACCACTATCCGCAACCCTTGGGGCGACGAAGGCGTCGGCGCAGCAATGTGCGGCCCGATCGCCGATTCAGAAAAAGATGGAAGCTGCGCCGACAACAGCGAAGACCACAAGCACACTCAGGCGCCCTTTTTTCGCACATCGTTCCCTCCTCATGAGAGCCGCGACATGCGCTGCCCAGAAGGCTGGGCCCCGCGCAGTGCCAGAGATAGAATTAAAGAGGACGGTCACGACGAAGACAACTGGCACTGTGCCGTCTGTGCCGTCTATTACTACTCGGCATTCCATACCTACATCTGCATATCCCCAAACGGCCACCTACCTCTACCTAGATGGCGCAGTTACCTCGACAAGTGCAACAACGAATCGTTCGCCCACCGCTGAGGCCCGATTCACGTGCGACCCCGCTCTCCGCATTCGGGATGCCACTGACCGATCGGACAAGATCCTTCAAGCTCAGCGACGCAACGCCGGCAGACGACCACCTTGCCTCCACGGGGGCCGCGTCTGCACTACCAACCGCGAGCCCCGCTAGGAAACTGCGCGAGCGACTTTGCAACCCACCACAGTCTCAACGGGGACTTCAGAATGGCAGTCGATCTTGCCAACAGGCACTTCAGCTCCCTAACGCGAGATCCGACTGCAAGGATGCACGATGTGGCTAAGCAGGCCATGCTCACGGTCTCACACTGGCTATGGTCATGTCACGACTGCAGGGACAACGTGAAGTACCATTGGGCCGGTCGCACCAACGACATATCACAACTACTGCAGCAGATATGCAACCCAACCTACAAACCTTGCGACGACCACATCATTCCACAACCGCCATCGAGGTCCTACTCCATCAGCGACACCATTGAGGACGCACCACCACCTCCCAACACCATCCAGCCAGCACCAAGGACCAACTAGTAGGCGTCAACCAGACCACCAACCAGCTAGCAACAGCCAGCCAGCACACACTGACACGCCAAACCAGTCAGCACCAACGACCAGTCCTATTACGATCGAGCAGTCCAGCACCACACATGGGATCAGAAGCCCAATTCGCCCGCCACCACCTAGCCGCAGAAGTCCCATAGTTTGCCCACCACCAGAGGCCGCATGGGCTCAGCGCTGAAGCAATGGAATGCCCACATCAGAGCTAGCACCTCAAACGCTCGCCACGAAGCAGATTTACTTCCAATCGAAGACACCTCCAATACAGTTCCAAGGCGGACAGACGGGAGCCACCCCAATAGCCTCACACACGGAGCATCTTGGAAGGGTACTCGTCCACGACGACAAACGACCGAAGGTTTTTGGATTACATCGAGACGACGCGCAGCCGCCAGATGCAAAACCAACAGTACCTGACATAAGTACGACAGCGCAACCTGTGCCAAGCAGCACTACCAGCAATATCCAATGCCATGGCAGCGCCAACCAGGCTCAAACCAGAGTTCCCAGTACCAGAATACAACGGCGCCACCTGCTGCGAAACCAGGGCTCCCAACACTGCCGTGGAAGGGGAGAAGGACGATGATGATGATGACGACGATGGGAAGGTGGAGGAGGAGGAGAGGGGAGGAAGCGGAGGAATAGCAGCAAGAGCAGGAGGAGGAACACGCGGGCTCGGAGGCCATGCCCTCCCGCAGCGGAAGGGTGGGGCAGATCTGTCGCGCGGAGGTGGCGGCCTGCTCCGCCGACCCACTCCTCCTGCTGTCTGCCGGCGGAGGGCACGACGCCCCCGCCTGCAGCTCTCCAGCCCAGCGGGGACGACGTGGTGTGGTCGTCGCGGGGCTCCTGTGAGGCCACCATTCGCCAGCCTCGAACTCCTCCCTGTCCCTAAGATTGACACGCCGAGAGGCGATGGCAGTCTTAGGGATGCGCCCTCGAACACGGAGGGGATCCCTGAGATTGGCATCGTGGTGGGGCGATGCCCGGCACAGGGACAGGGATATGTTCCAGGTTGGTAAATCGTGGGCCACGGAGGCCCTCTCTGCGCCAGCGTGAGGTTCTCGTTGGGGCCGCCCGTGGCCTTCTACATAGGGGGCCCTCTGGGGGTGTCGCGAGGCCGTCCTGGAGGACACGCCGGTCATGTTGTGGCCTGCCGTGGCCGCTTTAGCTCAAGACTCTGCGCCCGAGGGTCCGAGGTCGGCCAATTATCTTTCAGCTTCGTATACAGCTTCGTATAGCTGACGATACCGAACTGCTCTTTTTTCAAGCTTGTTTGGACAGCTCCAACCTCTGCCAGGTATGGCGGGCATCCATCTGGCATTATGCATGATGGGGTTTGAAGTTGCTGTTTCCAGCGAGCACACAGACATGCAGCTTATGCAGATGCAACCGGCTGGTGTCTTGCACGGCAGCGGAATGAGGAAGCCGCCGCAGGGTTGCCGCACCTCGGTTGAGGGTGATCGGTGTTACGTCGAGGTGATGTGGGCGATGCGGGCGGGCATCCAGCAGCACCCAGAGTACTATCTTCCTTTGACGAGAGATTCTAGCTTCGAGGACTTCCAGCAACACCTGCACGGCACGGCCAGGCTCTCCGGCGTGTGCCCCGAACCATGTGCGGCTGCAGCGCCGAAGTCACAGCAGCAGGGCCGGCCTGGCTCTGAGACCCGGGCGCGCAGCTCACAGTCTGTTGGAACTCCCGTGCCCACTGCGCAGCAGGTCGGGACTCCAATGCCAACAGTGATCCACCTGGATGACCTGCTCGTTTCAACCTACCCGGGGTACGAGCAAAGCGGCCAAAATTGCCAGTGCGGAGCAGAGATCAGCGCATTTTCTGACGATTTCGACTCTCTCGAGTTATGTGCTTCGGAGTGTTCCTTGCGCCCAGATTGCAAGTCAATTGGTTTTCACCCCTCGCAGTCAGTGTGGAAAGGCGGTTGCTATCTTTACGATGCAGAGTGTGGGTCAACGGATGGGCATGACTCCAACACCACCTGTGCCAATCCAAACCCAGAGGGAGCCCTCAGTGTCAACTTCAACAGGATACCGACCACGCCTGCACCTACGGCTTCAGTTGAGCCTTGCGACGTCACCGATGGATCGTCTCCGAGCTATTTCTACCCGTGCCAGTGCGGGACTGACATGTGCTTTACAAACGAGGTCTGCTCAGGTGACAGGGGAGGCTTTTCGTGCGCTCCTCCGGGCATCTTGAAGGTAGAGTGGCCGTGCTTGACGACTTCTATCGGCAGCCCCTACTTCGTTTTTTCCGGGACCAGCGCAACCGGAGCGCCAGTATACAGTAACACCGATGGCAATTACATGTATTGGGACGCTTCGTGTGATGGCATCGAGCGACCTCCGAAATATGAACAGCCGCGGTGGATTCTGGACTCTGAAGAACCAAACATGACAGCAATTATGGATTTAGATTCTGATGCGAATTGCGCTTATTTTGGGCATCATGGTAGTTCAGATTCTAATGGTGTCCCGCTGGGGAACACAACTTGGTTCTTGCTATGCGACGGCCAAGGCCTCAACATGACGGTGGCGATCACTTACGAGGCGTATCTCCCGACACCGTCACCGACGATGGAGCCTGGGATGCCGTGCCCTTGTAATCAGTTGTGCGGCTTGTTTCCCTACATTGATCTGAATAGTGATGGGTGCCTTGAGGAGTTTGAGTGCAACCTAAACCAGTATCTCGACGGGCACTTTACCGATATGGACGCGGACGGGGATGGATGCGTGACCCAGGAAGAGTGTGGCGACTCTCCATATGCGCAGGATATGCCTAGCTTCCCGATCGTGGGTCCAGCTGAATGTGACTACGGTTATTACTTCCAGGAGGGCACCAGCGTTTGTCAGCAGTGCACCACGGGCGCCACGCGGCGGCGCCGCTCAGAGGCCTGCGTCGACTGCGCCTCGGGCAAAGAAGACCTGGGCGACTTCGACAACTGCATCTCGGGGGTGTGGCTCACCGAGCCCATATCGGCTGGCGACGTCAACGTCTTCGTCAACAAGGACATCGACGAAAGTGGCGTCGTGCTGCAGAAAGGCGACGGGATCACCATGTCCACACGCAACCCTGGCCACTTCGAGAGACTGGTTATCGCCGACAAGATCGGCTTCGATGACAGCGAGAGACTGTCGTCATACCACGAGTCTCTGCTCCGCAGAAGTGGGCCCTTCTTTGTGCTTGATCACGGAGTGAACGCAGGGTTTAACAAGTTCGACGCGATCATCTCGTCCTGCTCGAGCACCGACGGTACTGGAATCAGCTCGCAGTACCCTTGCGGATGCGGCATTGAAATCTGCGGTCTCGGGTACAGGTGTGACGAGCAGTGCTCTGGGAGCAACACGGTTCTGGATCCCTTCGTGGGCAGCAGCTACGGGGACGGCGGGTGCTGCATCGGACCCCCTGCCTCTCCTCTGCCGACCCCTTCCCCGACGGTGTCGGCCAAGGGTGACCCGCACCTGGTGAACCTTCAAGGCGAGCACTTCGACGTCAACCACGGCGGCGAGTTCACTCTGCTGCGCATCCCGCAGGCCGCTGACAGGACCGCCGAGGTGGAGCTCCAGGCCACCATCCGCCCCGAGCACGGGAAGCCGTGCACCACGTACATCACCGCAGTTGAGCTCTCGGGTGCCTGGCTCGGCGGTATCGTCCTGCAGGTGCGCTCTTACTTGCGGTCGCACGCCAAGAACGAAAGCGACTCGTTCTTGGGCCTCCGGGTGCTTGAGCCGGGCACCCCTCACGAAGCTCCATGGTCGAGACTCGCGGATTGGGCCGAGGGGAACATCGTCGTGTTCGAGCAGCAGGCCCGAGATGGCGTCAGGGTGACAATGTCCAAGTCGCAGTGGCGCACCAAGAAGGGCGTGAAGGAGGGATTGCCGACCATAGCCGGGCAGCTTCAGATCATGATTCAGAACAAGCTGAGCGAGGACTCCGCCATGATCGTCTTCCGCCAAGACCTACCCGTGCAGGAGCATCTGAACTTGGCTGTGCGGCGCTTGAGCGCACTCGGGCGTGCAGACATCGGTGGGCTGCTTGGGTTCGATGCGCATGCCGAATCGCTAGAGAATGTTACACCTGAGTGCCAGCGTCACAGAGACGGGTTGGACAAGAAGGCGGGCCCCAAGACACTGCCGGGCTGGAAGATTAGATGGCAGAAGATCAAAGAGCAGCGCGCCAGCAATCCCGCACCTGGCGGGCCGATCAGCGACAACGAGGCGGGGGCCAGCCTCGTCAACAGGGACATGATGTGCGTCTGCCCCGACGCAGAGCCGATCGACGCCAGGGAGGAGGCCGACCAGTCCATGAACTCCGCAAGTCTGATCGGCGGCGGGCACGATGGCGTCCTCGCAGAGTTCCAGACGGGCCGGCTTGCCGAGGCAACGTGGGACTGACCGCGATCTGCGCGGTGTCCGGGGCGCTTCCGCCCGCCCCACGCCCCCGCCCGCCCCCGCCCCTTCGGGGCCCCCGTAAGCTCGCGGCCGCTGCGGTCTGGAGGAGAGCTGTCCCCTGGGATGCCCACCTCGGCTCGGTCACCACACACACACGCGCACTTCATAATATGTGTGTTTTTTCGGGCCAGCGGGTCCGCCGATTGGGCGAATCCGAGGGCCGAACATCTGCAGGGGGAGGGGAGGGGGGGGAGGAGGAGGAGGAGGAGGAGGAGGAGGAGGAGGAGGATCATTGTGGAAGCAGGCGCTCAGTTGGCTCTTGGTCTGTTGAGCTTGCTCTGAGCTTGCTCCAGCTCTTGCCGTGCGCACACCATTTGCAAGACTCGGCCCCGAAGGGCAACGGTCGCGAGCGACCGGCCCCGCTGGCCCGCTGCTCGATCTCTGGTGGACTTGGCTGGCATTGGCAGGCTGAGTAGAGGAAAGTGGGTCATGCTGTGGCCCTCTTGGGCCGTCTTGGAGCCGCCGTCTTGGAGGCCAGGACTGCTCTGGCCGTCTTGACGGCCTCTCGGGCCGTCCTGAGGCCACCTTGGGCCGCCCTGGGGCCATCTTCGGCCGTCTTGGAGGCACATGGGGCCATGTTGGCGGCCTGAACTGTCTACCTCGGGCATCGTGGAAGCTCGGGGGCGCGAGCCGTGCAAGGGGTCGTGGCTTCGGGAGTGCGGGCTCATGTGAGTTCTCATGTGTACCAGCTGTCGTGGGCTCATGACCGCGGGCCCGTCGCTTTGACCTGGGAAGGGAGAGTGGATGCATCCTCAGCATGCCAGGGGGCACGGGGGTGGATTCTGTTCCCCCTCCTCGTCATCATTCTTCACGTGCCCCACACGCGCAGCCTCCTCCTCCTCCTCCTCCTCCTCCTCCTCCTCCTCCTCCTCCTCCTCCTGAACGTCTTCCTTTTCCTCCTCCTTGCCCTCCTCCTCCTTCGAGGTTTTGGATCATCCTTTGCGTTCCCCTCTTGGCGAATGAGACCTTCCTTCTCCCTCCCGTTGCTTCCTCCCGCGCAACGTTCTCCCTCGCCTTGTGGTCCATGCCCCCTCCCAGCCCTTGCCTCCTTCTCCTCTTCCTCCTCCTCCTCCTCTTCCTCCTCCTCCTCCTCCAGCCCCCCCTCTTCCTCCTCCTCTTTCTCCTCCTCCTTTTCCTCCTCCTCCTCCTTTTTTACTTTTCTCCATTCTCTTCCGCCTTCTTCGTGAAACGGCTCCAGCAGGCAGAAGACTGGTTCAACCGACAACCGGTTCAACAGGGACCGCTTCAACAGACGACCGGTTCAACAGACACGGGTTCAACAGACGACCGGTTCAGCAAAACCCGGTTCAACGAAGACCAGTTCAACAGGACGGGTTCCGCAGAATCGGTTCCGCGGAATTGATTCCACAGGGCCCGTTGCACAGGATTGGTTCCAAAAGCTTGGTTCCGCAGGACCAGTTCCGCAGGCCAGGTTCCGCAGGACCGGTTCCACAGGACCAGGTCGGTCCATTGGCGCTCCAGACACTCCAGGCACTCTGGGTACTCGCGGTGCTTCAGGCCAGTCACTCGAGCCCGGTGCTCCGAACCCGCCCGCCCGCCCGACCCGTCCAGCCCGTATGTGCATTCGCGTGCCAAGTCGATGATGCGCAATTCTTGAATGTCCCGCCCGCCCGACCCGGCCCGACCCGTCCCGCCCGTTAGGGTCTGCCCGACCCGTCCCGCCCGTTAGGTGACGCATCATACTTTAATGTCCCGCCCGCCTGACCCGACCCGACCGGCCCGCCCGACTCGTCCCGTCTCGCCCGTTATGGTCCGCCCGTCCGCCTGGCCCCTCCCGCCCGTTCGGGTACTCGCGTGTCGAGTCGATGATGATTCAGACTTGAATGTCCCGCCCGCCCGACCCGACCCGACCCGCCCGTTAGGCTCCGCCCGTCCGACCCACGCCGTCCGGCCTGTTAGGGTGCGCCCGACCCGTCCCGCTCGTTAGGGCACTCGCGTCCCACATCGATGACGCATCGTGCTTTAATGTCCCGCCCGCCCGACCTGACCCCACCCGCCCGTTGTGGTCCGCCCGCCCGAACCGACCCGTCCTGCCCGTTAGGGTCCGCCCGACCCGTCCCGCCCTTTAGGGCAGTCGCGTGCCAAGTCGATGATGCATCACAGTTTCTTGTCCCGCTCGCCCGGCCCGACCCGACCCGCCCGTTGGGGTCCGCCCGCCAGAACCGACCATGAGGGTCCGCCCGCCCGCCCGGCCCCTCCCGCCCCTTACTGAGTACCTCAATAGGTCTGGGCCCCCGGACTACAAAGCCCCACCCCCTGGACTACAAGGCCCCCCCCCCGGACTCCAGGGACCCCCCGAGGACTACAAGGACCCCCGCCCGGACTGCAAGGGCCCCCCCCCCAGACTACAGGGCCCCCCCCCCCCCGGACTACAAGGACCTCCAGGACCCCCGGGCTACAGCCACCACGCCCAGCACAATTGCTACGGGATGCCACAGATAGACAATTGCCACGACCCAGAACTACGACTACGACTACGACTACGACGACGACGCCGCCGCCGACGACGACGACGACGTCGTGCGCTCAGCGGTCGTCGAGCGGGACGTCGCCCCGCGAAGATCACAGTGTCCCCCCACCCCCCGGACTACAGGATCCCCCCCGGACTACAAGGGCCCCCCCCGGACTACAAGGGCCCCTCCCGGGACTACAAAGGCCCTCCCCCGCACTACAAGGGCCCCCAGGACCCCCCCCAGGCTACAAGGACCCCCGCCCGGGCTACAAGGCCCCCCCCCCCCCTGGATTACAAGGGCCCCCCCGGACTACAAAGGCCCCCCCCCCCCCCCCCCCCCCCTCTGGGAATACAGGGGCCCCCGCCAGATTACAGGGGCCCCCCACTGGACTAATGGTCGCCCCAGAACTATTGAGGTATTCAGTAGGGTCCTGCCCACCCGAGCGGACCCCCCCGTTGGGGTCCCGCCCGCCCGACCCGACCCGCCCTGTGAGGTACTCGCGTGCCAACTCGATGATGCAACATACTTGAATGTCCCGCCCGCCCGACCCGACCCGCCCGCCCATCAGAGTCCGCCCGCCCGACCCGACCCGTCCCGCTCGTTAGGGTTCGCCCGACCCGTCCCGCCCGTTAGGGTACTCGCGTGCCGACTCGATGGTGCATCAGACTTTAATGTCCCGCCCGCCCGACCCGACCCGACCCGCCCGGTAGGGTCCGCCCGCCCGACCCGACCCGTCCCCGCCCGTTATGTTCCGCCCGCCCGCCCGGCCCCTCCCGCCCGGTAGGGTACTCGCGTCCCAACTCGAAGATGCATCATGCTTTAACGTCCCGCCCACCCGACCCGACCCGACCCGCCCGTTAGGGTCCGCCCGCCCGACTCGATCCGCCCCGCCCGTTCGGGTCCGCCCGCCCGCCCTACCCGACCCGCCCGGTAGAATACTCGCGCCCCACATCGATGATGCGCCATACATTAATGTCCCGGCCGCCCGACCCGACCCGCCCGTTAGGGCATTCGCGTGCCAGCTCGATGATGCGCAGTTTGATCGCGTCCCGCTCGCCCTACCCGACCCGCCCGTTAGGGCCCCGCCCGACCGACCCGACCCCCCCAGGCAGCACGAAGCCTAGCTCTGCGGCGGGCTGCTCCGCCTCCGCCCTGGGCCACTCCGCTCTCTTGTCGAACTCGAGCGCCTTCCGCAAAGACGCTGGCGGCCCTCGCTCCAGGAGCTTTCGCGGCGGCGGCCGCAGGATCAGCATGTTCCACATGCGCGTGGCGCGGGAGAGCATGACGTAGAGGTGCAGCCACCACTGCTCGTCCGACATGCCCGTGCGCCCAGCGTCCTCGTCTCTCGCGCAGTCGATGGTGATGCCCTTGCGCAGCTTCTGGCCCTGCGACAGCGTGGAGGTCAGGTAGGACGCGTGCGCCAGGGTGAACCCCGAGCGGCGCACGGTGTGCGGCCCCGAGCTCTGCCAGTTGAGCTCCTGGTCGTTGGGCCTGAACATCAGCAAGCTCCGCGCCCGCGCCTCGGCCTGGCCGTCGTCGTCGGCGTCTTCGGCGCCCTGTCGCAGCACCTCGGCGACCTCCTGGTAGATCGGAGACTCCTTGAAGCCGTGCACCTGCAGCCAGATCCCCTGCGGTAGGAAGCGGGTGCGAAAGAGCTGGCCAGCCGAGTGCTCCTCGTACCGCTGCTCGTCCTCGTGGTGGAGATCGAAGGACACGATGGTGGCCCGTTGCTCGCGCGCGAGTCCCAAGTTCTTCTTCAGCTCTTCTTTCGTGGCCGTGAACCGCACCTCCATGCCCACGTGGGCCGGCAAGACGCCGTGGATGTCCCCCGTCTTGTGCATGTTCGGGACGTTCGGGAGGCGCCGGCCCGCGTCGGGATCGCCTTGAATCGAGCTGCACTCGTCCACGGCCTGCAGGAAAACGAGGGGCACGCCCAGGCGCCGTGCGCCGCGACGAGCGCACGTGTTGATCCGCAATTCACTCACAGACGAGGCTCCCGCCTGATACTTCCTCCACACTCAGGCCTGAGGAGCCCAAAAGTGACGACTGTTACAGGAATTCCATGACCCGCTTCGGATTCGAACATGAAGTCCGAGCCCTTTAGGGAGGGAGCTCCCCCCTTGAGACTCCCTTTCAATTCGCTCACAGACGAGGCTCCCGCCTGATCCTTCCTCCATATTCAGGCATGCGGAGGCCAAAGGTGACGACATCTGCGGGCCCCTTAGGGGGGGGGCTCCCGCCCGAGATTTCCTCACAAGTCACCCACAGACGAGGCTCCTGCCTGATACTTCCTCCACATTTGGGCATGAGGAGGCCAAACGCGACGACAGTTTCAGGATCCGGTAAGTGAGTGAGTGACGATGATGCTGTTGATGATGGTGTGTGTGTTGATGATGATGATGATGATGATGATGATGATGATGATGATGATGATGATGATGATGGTGAATGATCGGTGGGTGATGGTGTTGGTGATGATGAATATGATTATGATGATGATAGTGATGATGATGGTGATGAGGATGATGATGATGATGATGGTGATGATGATGATGGTGAGTGGTGATGATGCTGAATGCTGATGCGGACGAGTGTTGGTGACGCGGAGCTGACAATGACGATGCGGATGATAACGAGTGAGTGATTGAGTGAGTGAGTGAGTGAGTGAGTAATTGGATGTGGGAAAGAACCCCACTTAGGATTAGGAGGGAGTGCGGGTGGTGGTGAGGAGGGAGAGAATGGGGGATGGGTGTGTTCCTGCGCGGGGTGTCCAGAGAAAACAAGGACCCCACTTTGGATGTGGGGGAAATTGTCAGGAACGTTATTTTGAGCATTTGTTCCTGCAGTTTGAATGTTTTTGGACATGTTTTAGTTTTCGTCCAACGTCCCCCTGTGGGGGGAGGAGGAGGAGGAAGAGGAGGAGGAGGAGGAGGAGGAGGAGGAGGAG